TTGGATATTTGCCAACCCTAGCGATAACAGAGGTACCATACGTACATGTTAGCTCATTTCAGGTCACACTTGCATTTTTTATGTTATTTTGTCACGAATCGGATAAAGTTCTTAATGTTTTGCATGTACGGTCATTTGTTATTTGTGAAATCTTACAACATTTATTATTTACGACAAATTTGCTTTTGAAAAATTATCTTCATAATGTTTTTAATGTTTCATTTTTGTCAGAACGTAAATAATTTTGTGTAAGATTCATGTAACAATAATGACTCATTTAATTTATTTAATAATATAGAAGCAATCGAAAACAGAGTAAATGGATCATATCCAAATTTGGACTTTTCCGATCCATTCCCACATAAAATGTAAGTAGGGAAAGTTGATCTACACCAACCTGCAATTAAACTATACATATTTTGCATGACAATTATTTTTTTTATATTTAAAGTTATTTTTTTAAAGGTAACCTTAATATCATTCCTGCAGATTATCACATGTATTATTTCACACAGAAGACAGGCGTGAAGTGGAAGCAATTTCGCGTTTCGTCTGATGAGTGTGCGTCCCGGAGGCCTAATTTAGTCCTCTTTTCCTTCCCACCCTTTTTTCTTATAACGAAAGGATGGGAAGTGGAAGTGGACTTTCCGGATGAGGGGATGCATGGGAAGGGAAACTATTTCTCTCTGTGCATCCTCTCCTCCGTCGATTAAAGGTAGGCAACGCATATGCAATTGCGTATGTCTATGGGCAACGGTCACTTCGCTATTTCAGCGATTTCAGATGGCCGCTCACTCGTTTGCCATTTTGATATAAAAAAAATTGTGATGTACATTTTTTGCTTACCAAATCAACCTAAACTTTTAAACTGAATATCAGTTATTGGTGGTTAAGTTTGGTGGTATATTATTATATCTTCTGTGGATCTTTTATCTTAGTTTCATCTAGATATTAGGAGTAAAGAACTGCCCAAGTGTAAAACAACTTACGGTAGATATTTCATTCAATACTTTTATAATAAATTGCCGTTATTTTTATTAACTGCTTTTAGGTAATATGTTGATGAAAGAGGACACTGTGGTTTACCAAACACGAATATATTCCACTAATTGAGGGTTGAACCGCGCGTGCATTTTCAGTTAGGCTGCTAGGGGTGTGCGGTTTGAAACTCAATTACACTTAATATTCAACGAGGCCTTGTTGGCCTTAATGGAAATATTCGTAGCGCGAGTTTTACCCACCGCAATTTAAAGTTATTTGACATTTTTAATGAATGCCACTATCCTTCACAAAAAATGAGTCTCAGCTAGTTTCAACTGACTTATCCTCCTTCTCCATCTTTATTCATTACAATGTTTCTATAACTACCTCATGTTTCGTTAGTTCCAGTCCCTTGCTGCAGGGAAGTGGGTCAAAAGAGTGTAGTGCGTGGTTTGTATTGGAATCAATATCGCAGAGGGATTGCATGCGAACCACGACAACACCTGTACTATGTACTCTACAGCTGTACACTCGCACACACAAATGTTTAACTAATTTATTATACTTACTATATCAAACCTCGATAACACCATATCATACTTATTTAAGTATCAGGTGGCAATTCTTTCTACCTCCAAATAGCTGGCCTCAGGTTTAATCTCATTTGTTTTAAAACACTTTGATGTCTTCTTCTTTATTACTTATCGTTGACTTTACTTGTAGTAGAGACGTAAACTGATACCTGTACAAAATCATCATCGCTAGAAAAAAATATTTAACAATATGTTCATAATGTCCTACGTTATAATTTAAATACATTAGTCATTGTAGAATTTAAATTATACTGTCCATTTTTATTAAACAAATATGTGCGCGACTGTACAAGTGGTTCGGTTAATCGATTCCCGGTGCGCTGTAGACGTCAATGGGTATCTCCTTATGCGGCGAACGTGTGTTTTTTTTGTTAATTTTATAGCGGTAGCACTGCCGTAGAAAGTTATTACTTATTTGTGTTGCCGCAACAATTTGAAGATGTCCGTTATTTATGCGCATCTGATTTTTGTTTTATTTCATTCGTTGTTTTTATGCATTAACTTTTTTTTCTTAAATTACGACTTACGATTACAGTCGAATATCTTACCACTTCGGTTAAGGTTTTTTTTCACAACTGTATAATTATAGAGACAGGCGTTGTCTTGGGATCTTTACTTACAATTTAGTTTTATTTCTACCAATATTTTATCCTGTACCTTTTAATAAAATTTGATTAAAGGTAGGTAACACATATGAAATCGCGTATGTCTATGGGCAACGGTCGCTTCGCTATTCCATCGATTTAATGTGGCCGCTCACTCTGTTGCCACCTTGTGATATAAAAAAATACTAATGAAACAGACTAATCAGTTTAACGTGTCCAACTTAGTGCTTAGTTTTACATTCTCCGCAAAATTAAAAACTCTTTATGCTCACTGTGCTGTTGCATAGAGTAGCTTATTAGCATATAAATAATACGAACAAGTGCAGCTGTTCAAACATCTGACCTCTGCAGATAAGTGGAGCTAAATGTTACCGGAGTTGGGAAAAAACTCGTCTGCAAACAGATTTTATGTTTATTAAAACTGCATTTCAAGTTAATTAAAACTTTTATTTACAATGTTAAAATTCATTCATTGTGAGAATAGAATACGTAGTACATAAAATACAGGGTAAACTACCCTGTTATTGTCCAGGCTTTGAACCAGAAAAAACATTTTTGGGTGTTTAAAGATATTATTTTTAAAGCTATTTGTAGAAGACATACAATGGTTTATTAGAGAACATATAACCTTTTTAACAAGAAAGTTTATGAAAGAATATTATGAATTTACTTTTCAAATCATCAAGACAAAAACTGGAAATGTCCCAAAAACCTAATTACAGAACATTATCAAGTTTGAAGTTTTTACTAGAGTACGTTTGTTACAGTTGCTCGCAGATCATTGATAAGCTTTGACTTTCAAGAGACAGGACCTGCTATGTCCATACACCCCTATTTAAAATCAGACCGAAAATAAATTCTACACATGCTTCCTTGCGTAATTTTATAAACTACGTAAATGTTTGAGTCGATGTGATATAGACACGTGTGATTGTCATCTTTTTCTCACTCAGGAATTAGCGGCTGTTTGCCTAGTCCGTGTCTCTATAGTCATAGTTGACATGCCTCGCATCTCGCGACCGGTAGAACTTGTTTACAATTTACCGCAATTTTAATACTACATTGATATTGATTAGCGAAATTTATGTAAATTACATACAATTAATTGAATGGAATGTATGTAGTATAGAAGTCACAAGGCACGCTCTTGAAGCTTCGCGCTATTCGGCACGTGGCGGGATTGAGGAGTGGACGAATGCGTGTTAACCTTATCCTACATAATAATTTAAAATCTAAAGGTACAGATTTACCTGTCTTCGTTTTAAGTTTATTATGTATTTGATTATTTTTATAAGTCTTCATTTATCTTATATATAAAATTCTCGTGTCACAATTTTCGTTCCCATACTCCTCCGAAACGGCTTGACTGATTCTCATGAAATTTTGTGAGCATATTGAGTAGGTCTGTGGAATCGGCCAACATCTATTTTTTAATCCCGCGCAGACGGAGTCGCGGGCGACAGCTAGTTTAATATAAAATACAGCAGGTAGATAAGCAGGTCATCGATAGCTCAGACGAAAAAATCTAGGCCAATTGAACAGACCTCATTATGTTAAACTATTCGTAAATTGTATTTTTAAAGTAGATCAATTATAAATTAAACAAATCCATTAACAGATAAATAATTATTTATTAATACTATTTATAACTTTCTATTTGTAATATACGAAATAGATAAATAGAGCGTCGGTGGCTCAGGAGTCAAACACTTGACTTGCAATCTGCAGGTCCTGGGTTCGAATCCCGCCATCTACCCATGTGTTTTTGGATTCCCGATTTACATATGTACATTTATCCGACGTTCTTACAGTGAAGGAAAACATCGTGATGCAACCTGCACATATCTGAGAAGTAATTCAAACATATGTGTGAAGTCAACCAACCCGCACTTGGCCAGCGTGGTTGACTATGGCCTAATCACCCTTAACTTAGGGTAGGATCCGAGCCCCTTGGTGGGGACGAGTAGTGAGCTGATGATGAGTGAGAAATAGATATTTAAACTATAAATACCTACTGAATCTGGAGCACAAAATAAGGCGAAAGAAGCCTCCGGAGAATTTTGTTGGGATAAATGACCTCAATGTTCAAAAATTGACTCTCGATTAAAGGACATACTGGTACGATAAACCCCATCTAAGTTACATATCTATGAAAAAAAATATCTGCATATTTTATACGTTTCCTCTATTTCCCGCTTCAAATAGCAACGGCATAAGTATTTCTTCTAACATAGCTTTAAATTAACAATACGTTCAATATTTTTGAAATCCCCGAAAGTAATCCATCCTAGCTTAGAATTGCATTATCTGTATCTTTTTCAATCCGCCGATGCGGGGCGGCTGTAAAACTGGATTACGCTGAGAACGTTAGCCTGACCCGCAAGATTAGCGAGCTTTAAAGGTTCTTACCCGTTACTTTTAATGACTTAGAAGTGTAATAACTGATTGAAATAGTTGTATTAAATTTTAACTTGTGTACCTTTATAATTTAATTCGTTGATATTCGACTTGGAAAATCGTAAAAAAGTAAACGACACCACTATTTCTTTAATTCCATTTAAGGCCTTCTAAACACTGCGATGGAATCGAACTGCAACTGTAACGAATTTATTTTTTAGTTTAGAAGTTTACGCATTTTTCCAACCAGTGTTAAGAGTTAGAAGTTCACAAAGATTTATTTATATTAAAAAATAAATAAATCTGTTGCAGTTTGTGTTCCCCGCCGAAAAAAAAATTTCGATAACACTGTTTTATGGAACTGTAAGATGGATAGTATATCTTTTTACCGGCTTAAATTGTTAATCATTAAAAATAAACTTACCGTGTGAAAAAAATCCCCTTCCTACACTCTCCTTACTCGTGCGATTATCAAATGTTTGACTTAAATTATTTTTAAATGCATCACTGTATCGAATTATTCTCCTTGATTTATTTCCTTCAGTACAAACAAAACACACAATCAATAAAATTACGACACATCTTAAAACGTCCGGCTTCATAAACATTTTCGCTTCATTATTAAATCTCTTTACACTGTCCTCGCATGAATTTAATTTATGACAAAGTTATTAGAATTATTGACATAAATAAAACAGATGATACTGTCATTATTTCGCGCGTAATTCGGGCAAAGATTATGTCGCGCTTGCTGAGTCTGTGAACGGCGCGCGCGCAGTCTTTCCCCGCGACACTGACCATGATCAAGTTCAATGCAAGCATTTAACATCAGTGCTGCCAGATTCTTACAACTTTCACCCGCGAAGGTAATTAAATAACAGGATAAATCAAATATCTTCTACAGTCTGTTCATACTGCTTAGTTAAAAAGGAATTTAATAAAGTTAGCAACACTCGTTTATTAATAGCTCTTGTTCGATTCGAAAGCTTAGGTCGTCGTAGGTCAAGGAGATCGTGCTGTTCTAACATTTAATTTAGTAAGTATAAGGGCGTCATAGTGGTTCGAATATTAGGTCATAGGCGACGACTTACAAAATAAATGGCACAGTTCGTTATTATCATATACTACTAAGCAAAATTAAAAAGAAAATATAAAACATAGTCTGGTGTTTTTTTTTTACCTTTCTATAAAATTACTAAGACCATGAAATTAGGATTATTTAGTGTTGTGTGAATTATGTTTGAAAATAATTTAAAGCTTTAAAGAAGGCGATTATTGTCTCCGTTTACGCAAATTCATGTGTAAAGTGTACTTTATATTTTATTTTGAATTTTGTAGTTTTAGTATAATTTAGGCATATAGCGTGGGACCTGTGAATTTTACGATCATAATAACTCGAAGATTTTATACCCCGTGAAATTGGAAACTTGTTTTGTGTGTCAAGGATAATAATGGCATTCATTTTTTACGGGTTAATCCGGCGCTAAGCGGATTTTTATGTTGATTGTAAACAAGTCATAACAGACATAAAGACGATGATCGAGATATAAAAAGTGCAAGTAAATTTATTTTACCTTTCATTCGGACTGCATTACAATAACTTTTATTATTATCGTCTTACCGTTGAAGTCTTGAACATAAATGATAGTTCTAGTTAAATCTTAAACTGATTCAACAATTAATACACAAGACGTATCAGAAGCAAATATTTACAATAAAATCGATTTAATTTTTTAAATACTTTTCCATTTCATTAGATTTATTTTAACATTGTCGAATATCGTGTTTTAGATTACATTTATAGCTTTTCAAAAATAATTTGCGTAGAGACTTACAATTACGACCTACCATATGGCCAGCTGACCGTGGCCCACATATGACGAGCTGTCGCCCATATCCTGCTTAGAACACGCAACCAAAACTCATTAGAGAAAACTAACGGTCTTCTATTTAAATACAATTATTCTCCATATTTACCATTTCCTTTATATAATGTAAAATTACTTGTGTAAATAAGTATTGCGTATATAATACTTCACTTTCTAACACATATATTGATTTGTTTAGTTAATTTATATTTATTTTACATCATGAGGTGGCAAACGAGCGAGCGGCCACCTGAAATCACTGAAATAGCGAAGTGACCGTTGCCCATAGACGTACGCAATTGCATATGCGTTGCCAATCTTTAATCGACGGAGGAGAGGATGCACAGAAAGAAAACATTTCCATGCATCCTCTAATCCGGAAAGTCCACTTCCATTTCCCATCCTTTCCTTATAAGAAAAAGGGTAGGAAGGGAAAGAGGACTAAATAAGGCCTCCAGGACGCACACTCATCAGACGAACCGCGGAATTGCTTCCACTTGACGCCTATCTTCTCTGTGGTCGTAGCACATCACCGGGTGAGCCAATTCGTTGATGTTAAAGCAGGCTCTGCCACTGTTAAATATTAGATAACCAGTATTTACTGAAAACTTGGTAAGTAATTTCTTAAAATAAAACAGCCATAAATAAATTGTTTCATAAAGTGATTTATTGCTTCTCTATAATATGTAAACAGTTCGCTGATACATATTTGTAAACATTTATATATATTTATATTTACGTACAGTCGATAAATATACACATAATACTTAAAAATAAAACAAAATCTACATAAAAATAATACCATTACAAAATACGGAGACAAAAAAAAATACCGTCAAACATCAACAGACAAATATAAATCCAAAAGTAATCGAAACTACTACCTTGTATATAATTTAAATACTGATTATTGTCAATTTTAAAATACATCCACAATGAACAACGTCTTCTAAATATTGAATTATGTTAAATATACAACGAGGAGCAAATAACATGCTGGCTACCGATTAACTTAATTATAAAATCAGATCAAATTATCATAGACAAGCTAGCTGGCTACCACGGACCGAGGGCTGCAAATCCTACTGTTGTTTGTGCTGACCACTGCATATTTATGGTAACTATTATAGTATCATTTCGGTGTATGAAATTGAACATTAAAATAATCATTTTAACATAATACAACAACGATTTTCATTTCATTTAAAAACAAATATTTACTAAAAAAAAATTATTAGAAACAATACTTTACTGGCAACACAGAACAGTGGACTGTCAATACAGCGCCCTCTACAAAACATCTAACAACGGGACGAACTTCAAAATGATGCGTAAAGCTAAAATAATAATCTGCAAAGCGCATAGCGTAAAACGTAACAAACTCAATATCAAATCTCTGTACAATAAAAAAAAAACTTAACTAACTGTGCTGAAAATTATAAAAAATCAATATTATAAAGCCTCATCACATGTTAATATCAATGAGATCGCGATAAAACTGCATTTTAGGAGCACTATTCGATAAACAATTTAGACTAATGCGTGCGGATCCGAATCACTCGTATAATCTCTGGTCACTCGGATCAGTTTGTCTATTACTAGAATTCTCTGTGACAAAAGTCTATTTAAATTGCTTGCCTAACGCCAACTTACGAACGGAACTCACTCAAGGGTTAAAATATTCACGACCTATGGATGCCTAATTACCTGACTGGTTGTTGGATCTAAAGCAACACACTGAAAAAATAACTACCTTAGAAAAAAAATGGCTAATGAAAAAAACAAAATTAGTCATATATGATGACTGGCAACACAATAATTCATTTAAATCTACCCTCATGGTAATTTAAATGCGATATTTCAAATTATATAAAGAACATAAAGCACACTTTCAAAGCACCTACTAATATAGCGAATGAAGAAAAAAAAAGAAGTACAATTCATTTCAAATATTAAGAATGGACGTACACGGAGAATAAGGCAGACTAGAGATAATAAATTCTACCTAAGTATAGCATGAATTTTATGAAATCATTTGTCTTCATAACAAGACTATTGAATTTAAAAAGCAAAATAATATACGGCTCGAAAAAAACAAAATAAAAGCATTAATCACAACCAGACAGACAAATAGTTAGCATAAACAATTTTAGGTGTACCTTACACCAATAAAAATGTTTAGTCAACTATAAAAAACAGCATCGAAAATACATAAAATTAAAGAATAAAAATTACATGGAAATTCTTCACAAGTCAAAACATAACTCAAGGCAGAATCAACAAATGAGGGTAGTTGTAAAAACCGGTGCACATGTTAAGCCTAAAGCTATAGGACATAAACTAGCACCAACAAACTAATTTACTAGTGAACATATAATTATGAAATCTAATATCAAATTATTCAAACTTTCGTGAGACATTATACTAAACTGATATATAAACACGGCTGTTGGCCACGTCCGGTGGCGGCACCGACTAGTTTCGATCCCATCGGGGGCCCTTCATCAGGATGAGTGGTACTGGTATTATTTCGCGGACGCGGCACACGTCGACGTGAGTGTTTAGCCGTGTTTATATAACAGTTTAAATCTAGTATCATAATGATTTTAATACTAATTCGAACCTATGATATGAAAAATACAACGACAAATGGAATACAAACTTCTACATTTAAAATACGATTGTAAAGTTGCTATATAAAATGCTACATAGTTAATATATAAATATAATTACATAACAAAGGTCGTCTATTGATCCCTACGGAACTACTTCCTAATGCTTACAATCTCCATACAATTAATTGTATATTATTAATTTATTAATTTATTTGCTACTATTGCTTCTAATTAAATAGAATTCGACTCCATAACACTTGTATGTCTCTGTTGTTATCAAAAAGAAAATGAGGGATAGCAATATCTAGCAAATATCTTCTTCATCTTCTATAGTAAGGCTGTGTTCAAACCAAACATCAACTTCAAACTTTTTTTAAATATTAAACTTGTGTTCACATTTGAACTAATAATTTATTTGGTGTGAACATGGCCTTATCTAGTTACAGTGTAATAACGCACGAATTTAAAATGTTTGATATTTATAAATGTTTAAATTTTAAAATGTCAAAGATATAAGATATAGAAAAGACAATCGAGAGCATACTAATGACCTGTTTTACAATATCCAAGTAACCGTGGGTTTCTGAGACAAAAATCTCCATTTTAACATATTGTTATCCCCGTCACTACCTTTGACAAATCTGAAATAACAATATGTTTTAAACTGAGATTTTGGTCTAAGAAACTCATGATAAGTTCTGAATAACTAATTTGTCATTATTGACATTTCACAATCTCCAAATAAGGCATGAACATCTGTATTTTGGAGGAAATGATTATGTTTCAGTTAAATTATTTTTTAATTATCCAGCACTTAACTTGAACATTGTTTAACAGGTTAGTGTCTTATATGCATATAACAAAAACAGTAAAATGTTACGTCAAAAAAAAATTAACACTGATTTAAAACATTAATTATAGATTTAATTTACTATATATTTGATAGAAAAAGTTTAATTATTATTTAAAAATACAAATAGCTGTAAGACTATGTAAACATGATAATAAGAAAATGTATACTGATCAAAATAATATCAGATTCAACGCTAGAAATATTATAAAATTTTATTTAATTAAAATGTTAACATCAAAAACTATAATATTATTGGTGTACACATTTTAAAAGCAAACAAGTGCATTCCTTAACTTTGATATAAATATATCAAAGAATATTCACATAGTATTGTATTAAAAAGTGAACACAAGATGATGTTAAAATAAAATAATGATAAGTTTGACACACATACGAGTTATTAAAAGCTTTAAGTTCTTAGCACCTAAACCTTGCTAGGACACATTTTAGACCAATCGTGAACACCTTCGTTATATTTGCATCCACACAAACTGGATAATTATATAATTTAAAATAAAAACTATAAGCACCAAGTGGAATAGGAATTACCATAGATACGTAATAGGGCCATGCACTAATCTCTATAAATGGACAGGCGATTGTTTGGAAATTACAGCTTTTGCTTCGTTACCATTTAAACGCGCTTGTTGATGTCACATGACAGTTATCACTACAAACAGTTACCAATGGCGTAAATCAAATAGGCACAAGATTCTATGTCTTATAGCCAGTCCATTTATAAAGGTCAGTGGAGCCATGTCAATATATACTTTTGTTTTGTTTCTTAGAAAGATAATTGGAGATATCTCAAACATGTTTTTATATATATTAGGACAGTGGAAATCCATAATAAAGAATATCGAATGATTTGTTGCAATTTGTTAATAGAAATGATTGAATAAATATATATTTTTTATCAAACACAACAAATTAATAATTATGTAACTTTACCTGTTAGATGATGGATTTCTGACGTCCATTATTTTTTCCCTGTGATGATGTTAGAATTACAATTGAAATCGACATGGCTCCCAGCACTGCATACAGTACCTTAAGTAGTAAAAGTAAATATTCCAATAAATAATTCGACTATCCCATTTCCCAATTCAAAGCCTAAATATTTTCGACTATACACGAACACGATTTCACGCTGAAATTAGCGTAATCTACAAAATATTAGGGGAGATGACTTCTCCTCGCATAACTTTATAACAATAGCTTTTCACTTAGCACACTTTTTCTTACGATTTTCACAAAATATTGCGAAAAATATTGCCGCTATGTATGTTTATATAATTTAGGCGTTCAATTGGAACGAGTCATAGATGCAATATAATACAAAATAAATAAATAAATTCACTAGAAGAGAAATCAGTAAGACTTCCAGAGGCCGCGGATGGCCTTCAGCTTGGGCGACTTCCTGGTCGCTTCGATCTCCTGCTTGAAGCTGATGATGAACTTGTCGCGCAGACTGAGCCTGGGCGGCGAGGGCTTCAGCAGGAACCTCTTGAGGTCGTTGGTGAAGCTCTTGGCGGTGTAGTTGGGCTCGTCCTTGTTGGACTCATCGTTGCCGGACTGGAGGAAGGAGACGGACTTGTTGGACTGGATGGAGTTCCTGCGGTCGCGGTCGCGGTGGCGGCTGGGCGTGGAGCGGGAGCGCGAGCTGCCGGTGGCCCTGCTGGAGGGCAGGCTGTAGCTGCGCGACACCAGCGAGTACTCGTCCTCCATGGAGTCCAGCGTGTCCGTGGAGCGGTTGCAGATCCGGCAGCAGAGGCGGCAGTGCTCCTTCTCGCTGTGGTAC